AAAGGACGAAGCTCTTTTAAAAGAAAGAAAAGGACGAAGCTCTTTTTAAAAGAAAGAAAAGGACGAACCTTTTTAAAAGAAAGAAAAGGACGAAAGAAAAAGAAAGAAAAGGACGAAGCTCCTTTTAAAAGAAAGAAAAGGACGAACCTCTTTTAAAAAAAAAAGAAAAAGACGAACCTTTTTTAAAAAAGAAAAGGGACGAACCTCTTTTTAAAAGAAAGAAAAGGACGAACCTCCTTTTAAAAAAGAAAAGAAAAAGAAAAGAAAATGAAGCTCTTTTAAAAGAAAGAAAGAAACCTCTTTTAAAAAAAAAGAAAGAAAAGGACGAACCTTTTTTAAAAGAAAGAAAAGGACGAAGCTTTTTAAAAAAAGAAAAGGACGAAGGACGAAAAGGACGAAGTTTTTAAAAAAAGAAAGGACGAAGTTTCCTTTTAAAAAAAAAAAGAAAAACGAACCTCTTTTTAAAAAAAAAAAGACGAACCTCTTTTTAAAAAGAAAAGAAAAGAAAAAAGACGAACCTCTTTTTAAAAGAAAGAAAGGGACGAACCTCTTTTTAAAAAAGAAAAGGAAAGGAAAAGGACGAAGCTCTTTTTAAAAAGAAAAGAAAGGACGAACCTCTTTTTAAAAGAAAGAAAAGGAAAAAGACTCTTTTTAAAAGAAAGAAAAGGACGAACCTCTTTTTAAAAGAAAGAAAAGGACGAACTCCTTTTAAAAGAAAGAAAAGGACGAACCTCCTTTTAAAAGAAAGAAAAGGACGAACCTCTTTTTAAAAGAAAGAAAGGGACGAACCTCTTTTAAAAGAAAGAAAAGGACGAAGCTCTTTTTAAAAGAAAGAAAAGGACGAACCTCCTTTTAAAAGAAAGAAAAGGACGAACCTCTTTTTAAAAGAAAGAAAAGGACGAAGCTCTTTTTAAAAGAAAGAAAGGGACGAACCTCTTTTTAAAAGAAAGAAAAGGACGAACCTCTTTTTAAAAGAAAGAAAAGGACGAAGCTCTTTTAAAAAAGAAAGAAAAGACGGACGAAGCTCTTTTAAAAGAAAGAAAAGGACGAACGAAAGAAAAGGACGAACTTTTTAAAAAAGAAAGAAAAGGACGAACCTCCTTTTAAAAAAGAAAGAAAAAGACGAAGCTTTTTTAAAAAAAAAAAAAGGACGAACTCTTTTTAAAAAAAAAAGGACGAAAAAAAGGGACGAACCTTTTTTAAAAGAAAAGAAAAGACGAACCTCTTTTTAAAAGAAAGAAAGGACGAAACTCTTTTTTTAAAAAAGAAAGAAAAGGACGAAGCTCTTTTTTTAAAGAAAAGAAAAGGACGAACCTCTTTTTAAAAGAAAGAAAAGGACGAACCTCTTTTAAAAAGAAAAAAAAAGGACGAACCTCTTTTAAAAGAAAGAAAAAGGACGAACCTCTTTTTAAAAAAAAGAAAAGGACGAACCTCTTTTAAAAGAAAGAAAAGGACGAACCTCCTTTTAAAAAAAAAAGAAAAGGACGAAAGTCTTTTTAAAAAAAAAGAAAAAAGAAAAGGACCTCTTTTAAAAAGAAAGAAAAAGGACAAGCTTTTTTAAAAAAAAAGAAAAGGACGAACCTCTTTTTAAAAGAAAGAAAAGGACGAACCTCTTTTAAAAGAAAGAAAGGACGAAGAAAGAAAAGGACTCTTTTAAAAAGAAAAAAAAAAGGACGAACCTCTTTTTAAAAGAAAGAAAAGGACGAACCTTTTTAAAAGAAAAGGAAAAGTCTTTTAAAAGAAAGAAATGACGAACCTCCTTTTAAAAAGAAAAAAAGGACGAAGCTCTTTTTAAAAGAAAGAAAAGGACGAAGGTTTTTAAAAGAAAGAAAAGGACGAAACTCTTTTTAAAAGAAAGAAAAGGACGAAAGAAAGAAAAAAGAAAGAAAGACGAAAAAAAGAAAAAAAAGAAAAGGAAAGAAAAGTTTTTTAAAAGAAAGAAAAGGACGAAGCTCTTTTTAAAAAAGAAAAGAAAAAAGGAAAGAAACCTTTTTTTAAAGAAAGAAAGAAAAAAAAAAAGAAAGAAAGGACGAAGCTCTTTTAAAAGAAAGAAAAGGAAAGAAAAGAAAGAAAAGGAAGAAAGAAAGAAAAAAGAAAGAAAAGGACGAAAAATTTAAAAGAAAGAAAAGGACGAAAAAGAAAGAAAGAAAAGGACGAAGAAAAGAAAAGAAAGGACGAAGAAAGAAAAAAAAGAAAGAAAAGGAAAGAAAGAAAAAGAAAGAAAGGAAAGAAGCAAAAGAAAGAAAAGGACGAAAGAAAAAAAAGAAAGAAAGAAAGAAAGAAAGTGTTTTTAAAAGAAAGAAAAGGACGAAAAGAAAAAAGAAAGAAAAGGAAGAAAGTGTGGTTTTAAAGAAAGAAAGAAAAAAAGAAAAGAAAGATTTTTTTTTAAAAGAAAAGAAAAGGACGAAGAAAGAAAAGAAAGAAAGGAAGAAAGAAGCAAAAAAAAGAAAGGACAAAGTTTTTTAAAAGAAAGAAAAGGACGAAAGAAAGTGTGGTTTTTAAAAGAAAGAAAGAAAAAAGAAAAGGGCGAAAAAAGAAAAAAAGAAAGAAAAGGACGAAGAAAGTGTGGTTTTAAAAAAAGAAAGAAAAGAAAAAGAAAGACAAAAGAAAGAAAGTGTGGTTTTTAAAAAAGAAAAAAGACGAAGAAGGAAAGAAAAGGAAAGAAAGAAAAAAAAAGAAAGAAAAGGAAAGAAAGTGTGGTTTTAAAAGAAAGAAAAGGAAGAACCTTAAAGAAAGAAAGTGTTTTTTTAAGAAAGAAAGAAAGAAAAAAAAAGAAAGAAATTTGAAAAAATTTTTGAAAAGAAAAAAAGGGACGAAAAAAGAAAGAAAAGTGAAAGAAAGTGTGGTTTAAAAGAAAGAAAGAAAGAAAGAAAAAAAAAAAAGAAAAGGAAGAAAGTGTTTTTTAAAAGAAAGAAGAAAGGAAGAAAGTGGTTTTAAAAGAAAGAAAGAAAAAAGAAAAAAAAAAAGAAAAAAAAAAGAAAGTGGACGAACTTTTTTGGAAAAAAGAAAGGAAAGAACCTCTTTTTAAAAGAAAGAAAAGGAAGAAAGAGTTTTTAAAGAAAAGAAAAGGAAAAAGAAAGAAAAAAAGAAAGAAAAAAGAAAGTGTTTTTAAAAAGAAAGAAGCAAAAGAAAGAAAAGAAAGTCTTTTAAAGAAAGAAAAGGAAAGAAAAGAAAAGAAGGAGGAAAGAAAGTTTTAAAAAAAAAGAAAGAAAAGAAAGATGCAAAAAGAAAGAAAAGTGGCTTTGAAGAAAGAAAGAAAGAAAGAAAGAAAAGAAAGCTTTTTTAAAAGAAAAAAGATGGAAAAAGAAAGTTTTTTAAAAAGAAAGAAAGAAAAGAAAAAAGAAAGAAAAAGAAGAATGAAAAGAAAAGTCTGGTTTTTAAAAGAAAGAAAGAAAGAAAAAACAAAAAGTGTGGTTTTGAAAAGAAAGGAAGAAGCAAGAGAAAGAAAGTGTGGGTTTGAAGAAAGAAAAGAAAGAAAAAAAAGAAAGAAAGGACGAAGAAAAAGAAAGAAAGGACGGCCTTTTAAAAGAAAGAAAGGAAAAAAAAGAAAGAAAGAAAGAAGAAAAGGAAGAAAGGGGTTTTTAAAAAGAAAGAAAGAAAGAAAGAAAGAAAGAAAAAAGAAAGAAAAGGACGAACTCTTTTGAAAAAAGAAAGAAAGAAAGAAAAGAAAAAAGGAAACTTTTTTTAAAAGAAAGAAAAAAGAAAGAAAGAAGAAAGAAAGAAAAGGACGAAAGTGGCTTTTAAGAAAGAAAAGAATGAAAGAAAAAAGAAAGAAAAGAAAGTGTGGTTTTTAAAAGAAAGAAAAAAGGACGAAGCTCCTTTTTGAAAAAGAAAGAAAAACCCTTTAAAAGAAAGAAAGAAGAAGTTTTAAAAGAAAGAAAAAAGAAAGAAGAAAAGAAAGAAAAGAAAGAAAAAAAGAAAGAAAAGGAAAGAAAGTTTTTTGAAGAAAGAAAAAAAGAAAAAAGAAAGAAAGAAAGAAAAGGAAAGAAAGTGTGGTTTAAAAGAAAAGAAAGAAAGAAAAAAAGAAAGAAAGAAAGAAGAAAGAAGTTTGTTTTTGAAAGAAAGAAAGAAAGAAATGAAAAAAGAAAGAAAGAAAGTGTCCTTTAAAAAAAGAAAGAAAAGAAAGAAAAGAAAGAAAGAAAGAAAGAAAGAAGAAAGAAAGAAAAAGAAAGTGTGGTTTTAAAAGAAAGAAAGAAAAAGAAAGAAAGAAAGAATGAAAGAAAGAAAGAAAGTGTGGGTTTTGAAGAAAGAAAGAAAGAAAGAAAGAAAGAAGAAAGAGGAAAGAAAGTATGTTTTTTAAAAAAGAAAGAAAGATGCAAGAGTGAAAGAAAGGAAGAACTTTTTTAAAAGAAAGAAAGAAAGAAAGAAAGATAAAAGAAAAAGAAAGAAGGTTTTAAAAGAAAGAAAGAAAGAAAGCAAGAGGAAAGAAAGAAAATGAACGGCTTTTTAAAAAGAAAGAAAGAAAGAAGCAAAAACAAAGAAAAGGACGAAGAAAAAGAAAGAAAGAAAAGAAAGATGCAAGAGGAAAGAAAGTGTGGTTTGAAGAAAGAAAGAAAGAAAGAAAGAAAGAAAGAAGCAAGAGTTTAAAGAAAGGACGGTTTTGAAGAAAGAAAGAAAAGATGACGAAAGAAAGTTTTAAAAGAAAGAAAAGAAAGAAAGAAAGAAAAAAAGAAAGAAAAGAAAAAGCAAGAGGAAAGAAAAGTGTGATTTTTAGAAAGAAAGAAAAGAAAAGAAAACAAAGAAAAAAAGAAAGAAAAGAAAAAGCTTTTTTGAAGAAAGAAAAGAAAGAAAAAAGAAAGAAAGAAGCAAGAAAAAAAGAAAGGGATGCAAGAAAGAAAGAAAATGGAAGAACTTGAAAAAAGAAAGTGGGCTTTTTTAAAAGAAAGAAAGAAAGAAAAGAAAGAAAAAGCAAAAGAAAAGAAAGTGTGGTTTTGAAGAAAGAAAGAAAAGATGCAAGAGGAAAGAAAGTGTGGTTTTGAAGAAAGAAAAGAAAGAAATTTTTAAAAGAAAGAAAAGGAAAGAAAGTGTTTTTTGAAGAAAGAAAGAAAAGAAAGAAAAGAAGCAAAAGGAAAGAAAAGATGTGGTTTTAAAGAAAGAAAGAAAGAATGAAAGAAAGAATTAAGAATGCGTGTAAGAAAGTGTGGCTTTGAAGAAAGAAAGAAAGAAAGAAAGAAAGAAGCAAGCGTGTAAGATAGTGTGGATTTGAAGAAAGAAAGAAAGAAAGAAAGAAAGAAAGAAAGAAAGAAAGAAAGAAAGAAAGAAGCAAGAGTGAAAGAAAGTGTGGTTTTGAAGAAAGAAAGAAAGAAAGAAAGAAAGAAGCAAGAGTGAAAGAAAGTGTGGTTTTGAAGAAAGAAAGAAAGATGCAAGAGTGAAAGAAAGTGTGGTTTTGAAGAAAGAAAGAAAGAAAGAAAGAAAGAAAAAGCAAGAGTGAAAGAAAGTGTGATTTTGAAGAAAGAAAGAAACAAACAAACAAAAAAAGATGCAAGAGTGAAAGAAAGTGTGGTTTTGAAGAAAGAAAGAAAGAAAGAAAGAAAGAGAGAAGAAAGAGGAAAGAAAAAGTGTGTTTTGAAAGAAAGAAAGAAAGATGCAAGAGTGAAAGAAAGTGTGGTTTTGAAGAAAGAAAGAAAGAAAGAAAGAAAGAAAGAAAGAAGCAAGAGTGAAAGAAAGTGTGGTTTTGAAGAAAGAAAGAAAGATGCAAGAGTGAAAGAAAGTGTGGTTTTGAAGAAAGAAAAGAAAGAAAGAAAGAAAAAAGATGGTGAAAGAAAGTGGGTTTTGAAGAAAGAAAGAAAAAAAAAGAAAAGAGGAAGAAAAGAAAGTGTGGTTTTGAAGAAAGAAGGAAAGAAAGAAAGAAAGAAAGAAAGAAAGAAAGAAAGAAAGAAGCAAGAGTGAAAGAAAGTGTGGTTTTGAAGAAAGAAAGAAAGATGCAAGAGTGAAAGAAAGTGTGGTTTTGAAGAAAGAAAGAAAGAAAGAAAGAAAGAAAGAAGCAAGAGTGAAAGTAAGTGTGGTTTTGAAGAAAGAAAGAAAGAAAGAAAGAAAGAAGCAAGAGTGAAAGAAAGTGTTGTTTTGAAGAAAGAAAGAAAGAAAGAAAGAAGCAAGAGTGAAAGAAAGTGTGGTTTTGAAGAAAGAAAGAAAGATGCAAGAGTGAAAGAAAGTGTGGCTTTGAAGAAAGAAAGAAAGAAAGAAAGAAAGAAGCAAGAGTGAAAGAAAGTGTGGTTTTGAAGAAAGAAAAAGAAAGAAAGAAAGAAAGATGCAAGAGTGAAAGAAAGTGTGGTTTTGAAGAAAGAAAGAAAGAAAGAAAGAAAGAAAGAAAGAAGCAAGAGTGAAAGAAAGTGTGGTTTTGAAGAAAGAAAGAAAGATGCAAGAGTGAAAGAAAGTGTGGCTTTGAAGAAAGAAAGAAAGAAAGAAAGAAAGAAAGAAGCAAGAGTGAAAGAAAGTGTGGTTTTGAAGAAAGAAAGAAAGAAAGAAAAAAAGAAAGAAAGAAAGAAGAAAGCGTGTAAGTGTGGCTTTGAAGAAAGAAAGAAAGAAAGAAAGAAAGAAGCAAGAGTGAAAGAAAGTATTGTTTTGAAGAAAGAAAGATCGAAAGAAAGAAAGAAAGAAGAATGCGTGTAAGAAAGTGTGGCTTTGAAGAAAGAAAGAAAGAAAGAAAGAAAGAAGCAAGCGTGTAAGATAGTGTGGTTTTGAAGAAAGAAAGAAAGAAGCAAGAGTGAAAGAAAGTGTGGTTTTGAAGAAAGAAAGAAGAAAGAAGAATGCGTGTAAGAAATTGTGGCTTTGAAGAAAGAAAGAAAGAAAGAAAGAAAGAAAGAAAGAAGCAAGCGTGTAAGATAGTGTGATTTTGAAGAAAGAAAGAAAGAATCAAGAGTGAAAGAAAGTGTGGTTTTGAACAAAGAAAGAAAGAAAGAAGCAAGCGTGTAAGAAAGTGTGGTTTTGAACAAAGAAAGAAAGAAAGAAAGATGCAAGAGTGAAAGAAAGTGAGGTTTTAAAGAAAGAAAGAAAGAAAGAAAGAAAGAAAGAAAGAAAGAAAGAAAGAAGGAAGAGTGAAAGAAAGAAAAATGCAAGTGTAAAAGAAAGTGGGGTTTTGAAGGCATAAAAAACGAAAGAACAGAACAAGCGCGAGATGAAGTAAATTTTTGAAGTAAGAAATACGAATCAAGAATGAAAGAACAAAATGACTATCAACGAAAGGAAGAAAATGAAGTGTAAAACAAAGAAAAGGAAATTTTGAAGAGAAAGAAAGGAAAACCTCAAAAGAGAAACCAAGAAAAAGAAGAGAAAGAAAGGTAAAATGAAGCAAGAAAAGCGAAAAAAAGAATAATTATCGAAAACAACAAATGATTGATAAGAAATATAAATGAGTATATATATATATGGATAAATACGTATACGCGCCTGCCGCTGAGTCTATTCAAGTCTAAAAGCCTTTGAATTTCAAGCGTGGCCTCTAAGTACAGCGAAACGGAATGCATCTGTCATGATAACAAAAAAGTCTTCAATAAATGCTACAGAGTAGAACACACGCGTGAGGATATGCATATACTGCCACAAATCCACGTTCATTTTTCTTTCATTGTATCCAGTAACACACTTTTGACATTTGAATGATATTTTATAGATAGATTCAGCGACAGTAAGAAGTCAAGATGGCCGGAACTTAGCAGCTGGTCTATTCTCTGGCCTTGCCCTCACGAAAGACTGGCTTGTATCACTCAATGCTTCCAAAACCAAGCTATCGTTGATTCATCATCACCGAGCAGAGAGAACATTTTCTCCAGTTCCGATGAAGGGTTGGATTCTTAACGAAGCTCTTTGTATTGAACGTCTATTAGGATTCTGTACCCCAAGTGTATCTCATATATACGAACTTGCTAAAGATGCTGGAAAAAGAATGTCCGTTCCTTGTACAATTCAAGGAAGTACCCGATTCTTCCTGTCTAATCAAGAATCGGATCAGCAAAATTGAATGCTGATACCATATCTTGACTTAAGTTGCTCAATATCCACTTGCTAGCATTGACATGAAAAGTGTCTTGAACGTCTATTAGGGATTCTGTACCCAAGTGTATCTCATTTATACGAACTTGCTAAAGATGCTGGAAAAAGAATGTCCGTTCCTTGTACCATTCAAGGAAGTACCCGATTCTTCCTGTCTAATCAAGAATCGGATCAGCAAAATTGAATGCTGATACCATATCTTGACTTGTTGCTCAATATCCACTTGCTAGCATTGACCTGAAAAGTGTCTTGAACGTCTATTAGGATTCTGTACCCCAAGTGTATCTCATTTATACGAACTTGCTAAAGATGCTGGAAAAAGAATGTCCGTTCCTTGTATCATTCAAGGCACCCGATTCTTCCTGTCTAATCAAGAATCGGATCAGCAAAATTGAATGCTGATACCATATCTTGACTTGTTGCTCAATATCCACTTGCTAGCATTGACCTGAAAAGTGTCTTGAACGTCTGTTAGGATTCTGTACCCCAAGTGTATCTCATTTATACGAACTTGCTAAAGATGCTGGAAAAAGAACGTCCGTTCCTTGTACCATTCAAGGAAGTACCCGATTCTTCCTGTCTAATCAAGAATCGGATCAGCAAAATTGAATGCTGATACCATATCTTGACTTGTTGCTCAATATCCACTTGCTAGCATTGACCTGAAAAGTGTTTTGAACGTCTATTAGGATTCTGTACCCCAAGTGTATCTCATTTATACGAACTTGCTAAAGATGCTGGAAAAGAATGTCCGATCCTTGTACCATTCAAGGAAGTACCTGATTCTTCCTGTTCAATCAAGAATCGGATCAGCAAAACTGAATGCTGATACCATATCTTGACTTAAGTTGCTCAATATCCACTTGCTTAGCATTGACCTGAAAAGTGTCTTGAACGTCTATTAGATTCTGTACCCCAAGTGTATCTCATTTATACGAACTTGCTAAAGATGCTGGAAAAAGAATGTCCGTTCCTTGTATCATTCAAGGAAGTACCTGATTCTTCCTGTTCAATCAAGAATCGGATCAGCAAAATTGAATGCTGATACCATATCTTGACTTGTTGCTCAATATCCACTTGCTAGCATTGACCTGAAAAGTGTCTTGAACGTCTGTTAGGATTCTGTACCCCAAGTGTATCTCATTTATACGAACTTGCTAAAGATGCTGGAAAAGAACGTCCGTTCCTTGTACCATTCAAGGAAGTACCCGATTCTTCCTGTTCAATCAAGAATCGGATCAGCAAAATTGAATGCTGATACCATATCTTGACTTGTTGCTCAATATCCACTTCTGCTAGCATTGACCTGAAAAAGTGTTTTGAACGTCTATTAGGATTCTGTACCCCAAGTGTATCTCATTTATACAAACTTGCTAAAGATGCTGGAAAAAGAATGTCCGATCCTTGTACCATTCAAGGAAGTACCCGATTCTTCCTGTCTAATCAAGAATCGGATCAGCAAAATTGAATGCTGATACCATATCTTGACTTGTTGCTCAATATCCACTTGCTAGCATTGACCTGAAAAGTGTCTTGAACGTCTATTAGGATTCTGTACCCCAAGTGTATCTCATTTATACGAACTTGCTAAAGATGCTGGAAAAAGAATGTCCGTTCCTTGTACCATTCAAGGAAGTACCCGATTCTTCCTGTCTAATCCAGAATCGGCTCAGCAAAATTGAATTCTGATACCATATCTTGACTGAAGTTGCTCAATATCCACTTGCTAGCATTGACCTGAAAAGTGTCTTGAACGTCTGTTAGGATTCTGTACCCCAAGTGTATCTCATTTATACGAACTTGCTAAAGATGCTGGAAAAAGAACGTCCGTTCCTTGTACCATTCAAGGAAGTACCTGATTCTTCCTGTCTCAATCAAGAATCGGATCAGCAAATTGAATGCTGATACCATATCTTGACTTAAGTTGCTCAATATCCACTTGCTAGCATTGACCTGAAAAGTGTCTTGAACGTCTATTAGGATTCTGTACCCCAAGTGTATCTCATTTATACGAACTTGCTAAAGATGCTGGAAAAAGAATGTCCGTTCCTTGTACCATTCAAGGAAGTACCCGATTCTTCCTGTCTAATCAAGAATCGGATCAGCAAAATTGAATGCTGATACCATATCTTGACTTAAGTTGCTCAATATCCACTTGCTAGCATTGACCTGAAAAGTGTCTTGAACGTCTATTAGGATTCTGTACCCCAAGTGTATCTCATTTATACGAACTTGCTAAAGATGCTAGAAAAAGAATGTCCGTTCCTTGTACCATTCAAGGAAGTACCCGATTCTTCCTGTCTAATCAAGAATCGGATCAGCAAAATTGAATGCTGATACCATATCTTGACTTAAGTTGCTCAATATCCACTTGCTAGCATTGACCTGAAAAGTGTCTTGAACGTCTATTAGGATTCTGTACCCCAAGTGTATCTCATTTATACGAACTTGCTAAAGATGCTGGAAAAAGAATGTCCGTTCCTTGTACAATTCAAGGAAGTACCCGATTCTTCCTGTCTAATCAAGAATCGGATCAGCAAAATTGAATGCTGATACCATATCTTGACTTAAGTTGCTCAATATCCACTTGCTAGCATTGACCTGAAAAGTGTCTTGAACGTCTATTAGGATTCTGTACCCATGTGTATCTCATTTATACGAACTTGCTAAAGATGCTGAAAAGAATGTCCGTTCCTTGTACAATTCAAGGAAGTACCCGATTCTTCCTGTCTAATCAAGAATCGGATCAGCAAAATTGAATGCTTATACCATATCTTGACTTAAGTTGCTCAATATCCACTTGCTAGCATTGACCTGAAAAGTGTTTGCGAAGCGTTGTGTGCGATGCATTATTTTTCACCTTACAGCCCCCTTTCCCCCATAGACGAAAGCTATTCTATCACTGTTCCCGTAGAAAAAGTTCAGACGATCTACATTCCATTTTTCCACCAGTTCAGACCTTCACCTCTAGTACTCGCCGTGCTATGTAAACTGGGTCAAAGCACAGCATATGTCTTTCAACTTGAAGGCCGGTCTTGATCACGGACACGTGGCTGTTGATTTAATCGAAGGAGTCCACCGCCTTGGCTGTTTGCTCCAGTCGAGGAAATTTTCTACCCATTGATGTCGTCTCAGTCTTTCAACTTGAATGCCGGTCTTGATCACAGACACGTTGCTGTTGATTTAATCGAAGGAGTCCACCGCCTTGGCTGTTTGCTCCAGTCGAGGAAATTTTCCACCCATTGATGTCGTCTCAGTCTTTCAACTTGAAGGCCGGTCTTGATCACGGACACGTGGCTGTTGATTTAATCGAAGGAGTCCACCGCCTTGGCTGTTTGCTCCAGTCGAGGAAATTTTCCACCCATTGATGCCGTGTCATCACTACCCGGGCTGCATACATAGCTACGGGTCCAAGTTAACTTCAATATGCTAGATATAAGACAAGGTTCATTCGCCAATTGACACGTGTGTAGCCATCTTCCTTACTAAATACAAGTCTTGTGCGGCATATAATACTGGGTATATGGTACCATCAGCATTCGTATACAAACCTGACTTTAATATATATATATATATATATATATATATATATATATATATATATATATATATATATATATATATATATATATGTATATATTGAGATATTTCATTGAATAAATTAGACAATTTTGTCTACTTATTTTCACCTGGATCATTTCATATTCAGGGACATCTTTTTTGTGTCGTTATTAAAGGAAGAGGGAAAAACGCCGTGTTGATACATATTATTTTATCCCGAGTACTTTCGACATCAGCACAATGTCATCATCAGGGTGTTGTTTATTTCGTGACAAATATTGTAGTGTTCATCATTTTCAAAGACAAAATTGCTGTTTTCATCTGAAAGTTTACTGTTTTTACTAGTGTAATGAAGAACGCTGAGTTCAGTGCAATTAGCTGAATAACGCTAGAGGGGAGGTAATTAAGTTAAGAAGTATCGAAAGTTTTTTTTAAACATAAACTAAAAATTCTTGAGGCTATCTATATTAAAAAAACTGAAACCAAACCTTAATAAAATTAATTAGGAATAGTGCAAAAATGTTTTAAATGCGTA